TTGCGAAGAAAAGTTGTGGAGGGGATATCTTCCAATGGGCACACTTGTTCCAGTGGCATCTGTCAGAAATGGGAATGACCATGACTTTAGGAATATTATCTCTCAAAATGTATCTTATTTTGTATCACTCAGCTGTAGATCCTCAAATCATCTCTGAATTGGTGCTGACACTGTCCTTCCTTCTGGAGGGTGGCTACTTTTGTTCCCTATGGTCCCTGTGTGTGTGTGTTGTAAAGTAGTCACCACTCCAAGATTACTCCCGTGATGGACTACAAACTCAATACAATTAAACTGGTAAACTAAATCTGAGATTGTAGTTGAACTTGTAGTCCCTCACGGGAGGGGTCTTGGAGCGGTGGCTACTTTACAACACACACAGGGACCATGGGGAAGAAAAGTAGCCACCCTCCAGAAGGAAGGGCAGTGTCAGCACCAATTCAGAGATCAGAGATAATTTAGGGATCCACAGTTGAGTGATACACTAATAAGGTCCCAGTATTGTTAATAGTAAAAGGTACTCAAATGCATTTTTAAGGTTTAACTCCTGACTTTAGTGTCACTTTAAGGGCGATCGTCCCATAAAGTCTTCTAAAACTGACACTTCCTGCAGTGTCAGTTTTCTGCCCCCCCCCAATCAATTGTGCCTCCAGCCAGCCACCAGCTCACTATTGTATCCTGTAGTAAAAGTCAAGAGGGAGGAACCAGTTACCACCACGGAGCGGTGTCCAGTGGCACTGGCAGCGGGAAAGGGGAGTATTTAGGTTCTTCTTTTCCAGGTTTAAAACAATCTTTTCAACACTAGTGTTGAAGATACCAAAACATTTCTATGTGACAGCGATATAAAAAGGGATATACTCCATGAATGAACCAGACCAGAACGAAAGGGGGAAACATGAATAATAAGATCATCTATCCCCAAAATAAAACAAAAATGTTAAATATACATAGTACCAAAATATTTCTTACATAACCTGCGACGGTGATGTAGAAGTATGTACGCCGTGGATTAGCCAGACCAGAATGAAAACAATATTCACCACAAACAAATGTTAAACATTAATTGAATTAATTTACAGTAATTAAAAGGTTTTCAGGCAAACTGACTTTATGCTGTTTTTGTTTTTCTGGCTATACACGGGTAATGATTGTAGCTGATCTCCCTCTATTACATGACATCTATGACAACTTTAGCTGAATAATAATCAGCTTTACAGAGCGCCAGCATTCTCCAGTATATACACAAGACTTGTAAACTCCTGATCACGTTTCTAGTCTGTATATACAGTCACTGCGATCACAGATCGCAGGGGGGGGGGGGGGGGTGCGC